TACGTTACACAAAAAATCTTTATGTGTGTGTGTGTGTGTATGTGCGTGTTTGTACCCATTTGTATACCTGAGAGAAGTAATTCAGATATTATGTCAAAGTACACAACAGTGTCACAGTCGATCTGCGCATGCGTCTCTCTAATTCACTTTGTTACTTCTTGTTCTCATTCGCAATTTGCAATAAATGTTCGTTTCTCTCGTTACTTTTTCCCGTCATTCAACTCTTGCCTTTGCTGCACTTTTTTTGTTTTATGACCTCGTAAATATAAAGCTTTACGTGGCTGATTCGAAAATTGTACCAACTCGTGTCTGACTGCTCATATCTATATATACAAAACGTAGATATTTTTGCGAGTTGTGCTTGTGGGGTTGGTTGTGGGTATGTCGTGCAGAAAGAGGATGTGAAACCTATCGATAGTAAAATGCTTTAACCTTTTGGAAATGGTTTTTACTTTATTTCAATTCAAACTTTTGGATTAATACTTTTGGATAATTTCGTTTCTTTTCGTAAGTGTTTCTTTTCTTGTTTCTTTTCTTTACTTTTTTTCTGTTCTGGCAAAACATTAAGAAGAATGTGTCGTCGTTTTTAATCGATAAGCAAAATATATTTTAAATGGTAATTATAACAAATTATTTTAACTAAATTTACTTTAGACAAATCATTTTTTTAAAATTTCATCAGCATTAGCATCAGAATTATCATTTGATTTGTGATCTAAATTATTATTATTATTATTATTATTATTATTATTATTATTATTATATTTTTTATTTTATTTCCTTTTCTTTCTGGTGTTTACACATTTCTTTCCGGGTCCCTTTCAGATTAGAAATGACATCATGACATTTTTCACTGAACAATAAAAATATTTTACATAGATAAAGCTCTTCGTAAGGCGCGGGCTGTATTCGTGAGAACATATTTTTGTATTTCTTTAAGGCATGGACTTCCAGGAATCCCTTCAATTGGTCTACTGGAATCTTTTCCAACCAATCCGAGGGCTCCAACTACAACACAGATTGTTGATGTTCCCATGTGCCACATTTTTGAGATTTCGATTTCAAGGTCTTTGTATTTTGATAGCTTTTTGAATATCTTCAAAGATACATTGCAATCTGCAGGTACTGCCATATCAATAAGGAGGCACTTTTTTTTCTTTGCGGTCTCTAATACCAATGTCTGGGCGGTTAGCTTTGATTGTTCTGTTTATGTGTATTGTGTAGTCCCATAAAATTGTAACAGGTCCTATCTCCGTGATCGGGTTTGGGTGGTGTTCATACCAATATAACAGGTCCTATCCTACTTGATGAAATTTACTCGATATCAAGTGACAGCAAGTCCCCAATAACTACCTTCTTTATTAATGCTGTCATCTGAATTGTTTTGAATCCTCCTCAGATTTCCAATTCTTCTCATCTCTTTATCAGATTTTTCAAAACTGTTCGAAGCACGTCAATAATATTGGCACACATTTCATCCTCAAGTTCCACAATTCTTTCAGTTTTTTTCAAGGCCCATGTTTTCTCTTTGTTTCATTTTTACTTTCACTTTTATTTTTGTCAAAGGAATTGCTAAAATCTATATCATTTGTGCTCTGACATCGAGTGAGGGTTAGTGTGAACACCGGTTAGACAGCCTATAGCAAGTCGACGATAATTAACATTCAAAGAGAGCTTGATTGTGACTGTCAGAGGGATAGGATATTCAGTTTCTTAAATTTGGAGGATATTTGACACCCCTCGAGCTACTGTATTATATTTGTACCGAAAGTACCTTATACCGCCCACTACGGACGGCGCAACATGTTCTGAATGATTGTGACGAGAGGTGTCTGTCGAAAATTGTCTTTGGTATCGGACAAGTGGCATTGACACATCCATAACCAATGCAGAAGGTACCAGACGCAGCAGGTCAGTTCAGTATTCTTTAGTTTCCATGGAAACAGAAGACTCGCCAGGGTGCACCTGTTTATAACCACAACACCCCAGACACAGAGTCCCCACCTGAGCTCGGGACGTCGCTAATTGAACCCTGAAGGACTGACAAAATGTAGCATGGTCCAACAAGTCACAGTTACAGTTGCCTGAGACCGTTAGTAGTGTTCTGGTGCTGGCCATGGACTCCATTTGCTAACAAGGAACAAAGCAGGCTGGTCGGGGTTGTATAACGATGCAGGCTCTATTAACGAATTAAGTTCGCCAGCCCGGCTAAACATACTACGCCAACAACTATGAATTATTCCAGAACTATAATACACAGTGTCATCGGACTCAGGTTACCAAGAATTCGTTTGAGGATGTACGAGATAGAGAACTTCCGTGTTTTGCACAATACAAGGAAACCTCTCCAATTAATTTTCATACATCAATGTATGTATATAAAGAGAGAAAGAAGACTTGTTTTTTACGCAGGATATATATCTAATAGGATATTTTCAATATATATATATATATATATATATGTGTGTGTGTGTGTGTGTGTGCGCGCGCGTGTGCGTGCGTGCGCGTGTGTGTGTGCGCGCCATCATAGATGTAAAATAACTGTTATAAAAGTCACGATTAACCGTGCTAAACTAATTGCTTTTTATCATATATTACGTTGCAAAGAATTGAGCAACATTAAACAAACACTTTGCCAAAACATGTCGTCGATAAACAAATAAAATTAACCGTAAATAATTTTGGTGAGAATTACATAAACAACAGTCTTGATATTAACAAAAATGAAAAAAAAACATCATGACCTTAATCGAAGCAAACGCGCCCAAATTATAAACAAAATGGAAAAGCCATTAAAATATAATTCTCTGGTAAGCATCACTTAATAATTGCCAAAAATACATACGAATAATCATTTATGATATAAAGATTATCATATCTAAGGTAAACATTAAAATTAACTCAGGACCTAAAAATATTCTCTCTGTCAAAAGAATAAATTCTTGTGTGCTTTGGAAGATTGTATCTATAATACCAGTAATAACAAAACAACATTAAATTTTCACCAAACACTACAATCTCTCATAGATTAACTTGTTTCTTATCAAAGTGCAAAATGCTTACATACTGATCACGAAACTGCAAACTAAAATATTAACAAATTAAGACAAATATTGTTAGATAATACCAAAATACTTATATTGCTCATACAACACTACACAGTAATCCTCTAACTTAAGGCTTTGTATTGGGTGAAAATTAGTATAAAAAAAACTCAAAATTCTCGAATCTATTATTATATAGAATCCGCATTAAATAAATATCTTTCATCGCAGAAGACGTCATTTTAAAATGCGTAGAAAATAATTTAAATGCATACAAAATAACGATACTTATAAAATATTTCGATAATCGTTTCCTCTCTTGACAAGCCCTATAACCCGTTCTACATATGACGTAATTTATACGATACACGTATTTGTAAAATATACTTTTTTTTTTAAAATTGCTTTGGTTGCAGCTAACAAATCTTTTGTCTACGATACTAAAAACGATAACTTTTTTATAATGACCTGGACTGACATAAGTATTCGAACAAAAACTGTACAAAAACATATACTTTGACGAGCTTATACATATTTTTGATCCGGATGTGCAACAACTTATACGAAAATTGGAAAGATGTAATAAAAAATCGATAGAAATTGTCGACTGAATTTAATACAACTTCTTTAAATATATACTTAGGAATTTTTTATAATCCAGCATTAATTCTTATTACTATAAACGTTATTTTTAACGGATTCCTTTGTTTGAGTTAGACACTCCTGTTATTTAAACTGTGAAATTATTGTCTCCCGGTCTACTAATCAAAATATCGAATCCGAACCCTTCTAATACTGAGGAAACTGAAGTCAAGGTAAATATGACTAAACGGCAAAATTCAATCAAAGAAGTGCACCACCAAATATAACATTTATAGGAATGAAAAATAATGTCGGATTATTAAAAAAAAATGTTAATTTCTTAGAAATTACTTTGTTTACATTTCAGGTGAGAAAATAAAGCGAGCATAAATAGGCTTCGCAAAGTCCATTAAAGATTTGCTCACCTTAAACGGGGCGTGCCGCGAAATGACTTGAAATGTTTAATAACTGAGCATTCTTACTTAGTTCGATGAACGTATGCTTGATCTCTGATTAAAGGTACATTCTCTTTATTAAACTTACGAATCTTAATAGTCAGCTACAAAATAGTGAAGTTTACTCAAACATGTGTACCCAGTAAGTATAACGTTTATATTAAATATATATCGGTTGAATAAAATGCCTTTTCCTGTTTTGTTCTTAATAGATTTTATTTTTAAAAAAATCACTTTTTATTAAAAAGTGAGTGCTGTTATATCAGGACCAATTTTGATAATAACGAATTTTGCCAAAATTAGCAAATTTTTCTATATAAGGAATAAGCAGCATTTATATTATATAATTTTAAAAAGATGGTAAAAATACAAAATAAAAAATATTCAGTTCATGGAGATTGTACTATGAACGATTTTGTACGTGTGAAATTATTCGCTGAATGACGCTCGACTGTGGGGTAAACTAGTTGATAACCTGGGATACGAAAATATATCAAAATCAAAAGTTGAAAATAATGTGCACCAGTTTGGTTATGTTAGTAACGTGTGGATAATAACTTAAGCAAAAATATTACTATTAAACCGTCTCTAAGTTTCCCATTTCTTATCCAAATTGTGATGCGGTGTGAGAAATGGATATCTTACAATAATTTAAACTGCATGTGATCTTGGAGCGAGCGAAATTAGCCATCACTTACAAAACGGAAAATATTTTGTTCTATAAAATTCAAGTCCAATATATATATATATATATATGTGTGTGTGTGTGTGTGTGTGTGTGTGTGTGTGTGTCTGTCTGTCTGTCTGTGTGTGCGTGCATGTGTTCAAGTATGGATAACGGAGATGTTTTCTTCAGTTTCTGATATATATATATATATATATATATATATATAAGAAACTGAAAAACCTTTTCCGTTATCTAAAACGTATGCGCGCACGCACACACACACAGATAGATAGATAGATAGATAGATAGATAGATAGATAGATAGATAGATATGTATGTATGTATGTATTTAATCAGCAATTCCACTTTTATACATGTTTCGTTAAAGACAACTAACAAGGCACTGTGATTAAGCTATTTATTTAGTTTTTCTTGTATTCGTATAAGTAAGTGCGTAGAAATTGCGCAAATGTTTTGCATATCTATTCTTTTAGCCATGAACAATGGCGATCTTTTTGAACAGAATGTATGGGATTTATGTATGTGTCTAGATTTATAGGAATGTTTTATTTTCTAAACACGGTCTGTGTTTATAGTTGATTTTACTGAGTGTTGACTTTTTCTTTTTTATTATTAGTACTTTTATATATTTTCATATTAGCAAAACGTCTAGACGAAATAAAAAGAGAACCTTAAAGAAACTTTAGGGAATAATTTTCTACTTTATTAATAATAAAATTCCTTTCTCGACGTTTTAATTAAGGCCAAAGCCATACTTTTATCACATCTTTTTTTATAAAAACAACACTACCAGAAAATCGTGTCTTCTCAGCAAAAATGTGAATGTCTTCACGGATACAAAATAATCGCTATAAAAATGATTTTCACGGCCAAAATAACCTCTTTTTCTGGCGCATTATTCTATAAATAACTTCGAAATATTAAAAAAAAAAGTCTAATCAACAATAACATCTCCAATAATGTTAATGATGAACAAATAAATTTAGCCGTAGCAAAATTTAGAAAAATTAAGAATGACTTCACCGTAATAAAAAAACGCACCATTCGTTTATTCTATCGCAACCAAATGCACCCTAATTATAAACAGGATGAAAAGGTTGTTAAAAAAATAATTCGCTGGTAAATATCAATTAATGATCCTATCAAACGCCTTAGATTTATCATTTACTATAAAAAGTACAAAACATCTAATTATTACCAACCCATTTTTACTAAAAACTCTCCACGTAACTAAAAAATTATTGAGATTGCATCGCTAATATCAACAATACATTATAAACGACCAGAATACAACTGTCGACATAAGACAAATATTAGTAGATCACAGGTCAACACCAAATTTATTCTGTAAATTTTTCAGTTGATTTAGGGCAATTTTGATCTGTTGAATTAAAGAATTACATTGGTTTTGTTCAATCTAGTCAAGTTTTTTTTTAGCTATGGCCACATGTGTTATAAACAACTTCAAATTGGAATAAACAACTTCAAATTGAGATATTTTTTGGTAAATTAAAAATTATTTTTTCAATTAATTTACCCCATGAGTAAGGAAATTAACTGTTGGTCTTCATTATATAGATGAATAAAAAAAAACAAAATACAAACAACTTAGAGGCCAAGAAAGCATTGGGTGAGCCTACAGTAAAAGTAGGAGGAGAAAGTCCCGTATGGGCAAAAATGATGATTGATGATGATGCTGGAGAAACCTCTACAAAAGAAGCTGAAGAAGAATTAGCAACAGCTCCAAAGAGGACTTACCTCAAGAAAAATGTGGCCGGCGAAAAAAAGGCCCAGATTTTAGCTGCACATGCCGCAGCAGGAAATTGGAAAGAACTGGCAAGAACTGCCAACAGCGTACCGTTGGTTAAACCAGGGTGCTGATAAGAGTGACTCTAGGGGAGGAGCAAGAAAATATAAAATTACGCAAGTGCATAAGAATTTTATGAACGAATTAATTGAAAACTCTCCTAGGGTCACTCTTCAAGACGTTGTAAATAAGTTGGTCGAAAAGTATGAGGTTCGTGTGACGAAAGAATGCATAAGAAAGCAGTTGGACTCCATGGCTTTTACTTTAAAAGCGGTTCATTATGAACCAGTAGCTGCCAATAATAATGTTAATAAGGCGAAATTAAAGATTACGCAGTAGCTTTATTAGAATTTCAGTCCCAAAGTGTGCCAATTCTTTATATGGATGAAACCAATTTTAATCTCCATATTTCAAGAAGAGAAGGTCCCTCTAAAAAAGGCACGAGGTGTACTACAGTCGCAGCCGGATCCAGAGGAAATAACATCCATGTTATTGAATGTATTAGTAATAATGGATTAATTCATCATAAAATTAAAAGAGGTTCTTTCAAAAAAGAGGATGCGAAAGAATGGACCAGGGAGTGCCTTAGAAAGACAAATGAAATTTATGAAAGGGAAGTTGTCTTAGTTATTGATAATGCTCCTTGCCATATTTCAATTGAAGAAATTGTGGAGGAGGATGAATTTAGGCAACATCAAATTTTCAGACTTGCTCCCTATAGTCCGATATTAAATCTCATTGAAAGGGTTTGGTCAGTCATTAAAGCTGACGTAAAAAGAAGTATGGCAGACTCAATTGTTGGGATTTTAAGAGGTGATGGCCAGGGATCTTTAACTACTAAAGAATTCCGCCTCAGCAAGTTAGAAGCGATGATCTCCGAGGCAATTAATAATATTTCCCCTGAGACTTGCACTAACTTCGTATCTGGAATACAGAGATTACTTCCCTCTGTAATTAACTTAGATGATGTAATCTTTTAAATAAATTTCTTAGGAACGTTTATATTTTTTTATATCCCTTTTAAGTAAAAATAAAAGAATATTAAATTTATTAGTATTATATTAATTCTCAATTTGAAGTTGATCAATCCAACTTGAAGTTGATTATTTCTCATTTTGAAGTTGTTTTCCAATTTGAAGTTGATTAATCCATTTTGAAGTTGATTGATCCATTTTGAAGTTGATTAATCCATTTTGAAGTTGATTAATCCATTTTGAAGTTGATTAATTTTTTTACCTGAAAATAAGTCCATTTTGAAGTTGATTATTATCATTTTGAAGTTGAAAAGATAAAGTTCACGATCTCAGCTTGTCAAAGTCTTCTGTCGGACTGTTGGCATCCAGATTGAAGATAAAAATGACAGTGCCCGCATCACTTTCTACCGCAATAGGCATCAAGAGTGCCTCTGTTTTTCTCAGAAGAGAAGGACTTGGTGTATTGTACAGATACTGCGCAGCTTCTGTGCAAAATTGGATTGCAATAATACGAAACCAAAGATTGTAGACTGTTCATTGACAGCAACAAGGGATTACTGAAAAGTGTTCTGCTGCACAATGGCAACCATTTTGCCAATGTATCCCTCGCTCACTCGACTACACTGAAGGAGAAATATGAAACAGTGAAGTATGTTTTGGAGAAAATTCATGATCAACATGACTGGTTTATTTGCATTGACCAAGTAACCATGCTTTCTGTGCATGTGGAATAATAGGGACAAAGCTCAGCATTACATGAAAATGACTGTGTCAAGAGTTTTCAGGATTGACGATTGAGAAGTTGAAAGCTAACACCTTTGATTGTTCATCAGATAATCAGAGTTTGAAAACTCAATGAACAAAGTGGAACTGGAAGCATAGAAGGCTTTTGTTCTGGTCGTGAAGAACTATGTAAGCAACAGCAAGGCCAGGAACGCCGCAGAACTTGTCGATCAATATGCTGATTGCTTTCAGAAACCTCGGATGCAACACAAGCATCAAAATGCATTATTTATTCTCAGATATGGATCGGTTTCCTGAGAATCTGAGATCGATGAGCGACGAAGAGCGGGGGAGATTCCATCAGGGCATGAAACAAATGGAGGCCAGGTATCAGATGGCTCATTACTGCTGGACTTTAGAGAGAGACACCCCTACCAATGATCATTGTAAGGGTTCAAATATACCGAATTTCAAACCCTGACTTTTGAAAATGATAGCGTAACATGCACTTTACATGTAGTTACATTTATCAATGTATACTATTCAATTTATTATAAATGATGCTTGTAACATATAAATAATAAATTAATAACTTACTTCGTATGAGAAATATTAACAAAATTCAATCGATAATGTCACAAAAATTTAATCGATTTAGTCAGAAGATCGGAATTTTAAAAACTAAACTAAGCACAAAAACATAACCTGAACGCGAAAACGGATATCATTTCCGGATTCAGGAGGTGAAAAATTCTAATTTAGAAAAACATAGACAACTTTAAATTTTTTTTTTTTATTGCCCGGTGAACGCCAAAATAATATACAGCATCCAATTCAAAGAAAACTCGAAAGTCAAGAAGCTATTATTATACAAAATAAACCTTCATTAAATAAAATATCTTTAAGCACACGAGAATGTATCGTGAAGTGTGTATGAAATACTTAATATGCCTATAAAAATTACGCATTATTTTTGGTGTGGTGTACTCCCCTTAATGGATACGCATGACGTCACTATGGACTATTTTAAATTTTCAGCTTTCTAAGGAATACGAGAATGTAGTCAACGGAATTCTGCCTACCCCATAGAAATTACATAGTTTTTGAAAATGACTGAATTGAACGAAATAAAAACAATCATAAACTTCAGATATTCTATCCACAATTTCAATTCAATATACAACACCTTATTCGAAAAAATTTAAACATACGATAAAAATTTAAACAAATAGACCTTGTCGGTTTTATTTAATCATATATATATATATATATATATATATATATATATATATATATATATATATAAGGTTAATAGTCAGAGTTGAATCAAACCAGGAAACAGTAATATAAAAAGTGCTCAATACAGGTGTGAAAAAAATAAAATAAAAATAATATATAGAGTTTTTAACTTTAAAAATTGAGATAGAAAGTGAGATAGAATACGCGACTTGGTTTTGATCTCACGGCCTCACGGTCTCATCAGGCTAATTCTATCAACTGACCATAGAACGCTTTATTTTTTACAAAAACACAAAGAACGCTACGTTATTATTTTTCAACAATAAATAAACAAACGCACGGCGGTCAAACGCATAACGCTGAGTGTAATAGGAAGGAGGGTGGTAAGGAGGAGGAAGAAGAAAAAGAGTGAAAAGGGCAAGAGAAAAGAAGAAAGCAAGTGTATCGTAAAAAAGTATGAAGAAAAGAAGTAGAAAAGAAAAGCAAATATAACGTAAATTTAAGGAAAGGTGTTTTGTAAATACAGTGTAACCCGGATATAAGGGAAACCCGGATATAAGAGAGATTTTCTCTGGTCCCAAATTAGAGCCTGTGTTACCTAAACAAAATAGACCAAACCCGGATATAAGAGAAACCCGGATATAAGAAACTTCTTCTCCGGTCCCTACAACTCTCTTATATCCGGGTTACACTGTATAGGGAAGAATGGGAGGTGAAGCAAATGCATTGTAAAAATAACAGTGGGGTTTTAAATATATTTTTTTATCCGGCCTCATATTCATTTTTTTTTATATGAAGGAAAAGACTTAAGATTTCAGATCTCTGCTTTAAAAGGTTTTTCAGACCTGGAAGTGTCATAATCGCTATTTTCTCATGTTGAAACTAGAATAATATACACAATGGACGAAATGAAGGGTTCGATTTGAAATTCCAATCACCTGAGGAAGGACGGAGCGTACAACGGCCGAAACGTTGTGAATATGGCAATGAAGATGAGGATAACAGCCCAAATAATGTAAATAATGCAAGTAATCATTAATACACGGTTGTATACTTTCTTCAATCACATCATTATAATTATTATCAAATTTTAAAAATTTGTTTTGTTTATCTATTTCATCATTATAATATATTCCAAAACTTTTATTTCTTCTTCTCTTTTCCATTATTTTTATCTTTATCAGTTTTTTTTTTTCATTTCGTTAATTATATCTGACATTTATAATTTTTTACCTTTTCGCAATCTTTTCCTTCATCATCATATTTAGCTGAAAGATTTCCAATCTAATGTTGTACATTAACTTGAAATCCTTCAACATCGTTTAATTTTCTTTCTTTTTATCGCTTTTTTTTTCATTCTGTCCATTACATGCTGCCCTGACAACTCTTTAACCGCCTTTAACAAATAAAAAGCTCCTTAAATCTCTTTTCGTCCTACACCGCATTTTCCATAGCTTTCACCCCATGTGTCTGTCAGGATTTCACATGTGCCATCCTTATGAGAAATAAAGCACTGTCGTTTGTTTCAACTCAGGCGCAGACGAGAGACTTGAACACGTAAAGCCTCATTACACAGGAGATAAGAAAGAAAGAAAGAAAGAAAGAAAGAAAGAAAGAAAGAAAGAAAGAAAGAAAGAAAAGCGATACACAAACTTTCACGAACGTATACTCGAGAATACGACTACAAGAATAAAGCACAAACGAAGGCACGGTAGGATGCAGCTGCGATTAGAGAGAGAGAGAGAGAGAGAGCGACAGAGAGAGAGAGAGAAAGGAAAAGAGAGAGAGAGGAACGAGAAACAGAGAGACAAAGAGAGAAAGACAGAGACAGAGAGAGAGAGGTGGATTGAAAGAGAGAGATAAGGTTAAAGATTACAAAAAACAAATTATTGGCACATATAAAGCCTCATTAGGCCAGGCGATAACAAACCTCCCTTTCTCTTTCTCCTCTTTAGAAACGGCAAAGAGCAAACATACAGAAAGTATGTAAATACTTAGTGATGTAATTTTAAGATAGATGTGTATGTGTGTGTATGTGTGTGTGTGTGTGTTTAAACAATGCTATTAATGTGTACATACATTTAAAACATTATCCTGTACTTATCAAGTGTCTCTTATGCCTAAATTCGCCTAGCAGAGGAAGTGACTTAATATCCTAAACCCATAAGTGGTCGATGTTTGAACCTAATTAAAATTTAAGATGTTAAAGCAAGCACACGCTTCTTACTTAAAGCTTGTCGCAACACCATCTTCCTTCTCAGTATTTCCTCTATTCCATTTATCATTCTATCGAATTAAACAAGTTTTATTTTGCATTCAGATTTCCAATCGTCATTTGAGATTTTTATTTTGACAGGATCGAAATACAAAATACTATGAGTTCCAATTTTCCTATTCATTGACATTAAGCGACAACTCTGTCGAAAATATTTTGGGTTTTAATTTTGATTTGTATTAAATTAATAAATCGCTTTTGCATGTTACTCTTGTTAATTTCTATTCTTTCCTACCATCAACTGGCATAATAACGGCCATACGTTTACGGCTTCAGTGGGCCTTACGATCAGTTCACACTTCGTTTAAGTAATGACTACAATTAGTCGCGGAGATGACAAGCTCCACTGCTATTTATAAGGAGTGAACAGTCAGTGTGGGGTAAAGGCAACACATCTTTGTGGATTCGGAAACCAGAAAAATATACATTTATACACGCACACATTCACTAATTCTATATACAATATGTATACAAGAAACATTTAGATACACATTAGTTTACAAACCCTCATGAAGCAGCCATTTAGATTCATTTCTCTCTCTCTCTCTCTCTCTCTTTCCCTATCTCTCTCTCTCTCTCTCTCTCTCTCTCTCTCTCTCTCTGCTAGCACTATCAATGTCAAACCGAATGAAAACAATTCAGTTTGTACACATCTGGCATTCTGACTAATATTGAGGACACGTATGTATGTATATATATCTCTATATATATAT